GAATGCGCTTCATTTGGGGGCATTTGTACGGTTGCCCCAGTTTTCAGTTCTTTGTACCGATATTACATTCGAGTTTCACGAGCTATACGAAAATAAGCCGTTGTCTCGGCCACAAAAAGCATTGTTAAACCCCGACCTGCGATCCACTCGATGGTCTGGCCGCCATGAAAAATTCCATTTCCCTTCTTTCAGCCTGGATCAACTGCGACATTGCTGAACTGCTGTTTCAGAGTACCTGGCTCGATTATTAGAAGCTCCGGCCCCAACGTTAATTCACTTTAAGCTCTTTCTCACTCATAAACTTTCTACTTACCCAATTGTTACCAAACTTGTAGGTGTTTCCATTATTTTAACAAATAGTGTATCCATAAAGTTTTACAGTACACATCACAAATAAAACAAGCATGTTTGCAAGATTTAAAAAATTTTGTTTACAGATTACATATTATAGTAAAAATAAATTTTGATGCTCAACATTGCCATTGAAATTTAATCCAGTGTATTAAAGTTATTGAAGAATGTTTTTTGCACATTTAGTATAATAAATGTGGAGTTTCCAGAAGTTGAGGTTACTTCGAATAGACAAAACAAATAAAACAAGCATGATTGCAATGTTTAAGAAATTTTTTTACATATTACTGATATTATAGTAAAAATAAATTTTAGTGCACAATATTCTCATTGAAATTTAATACATTGTATTAAAGTTGTTGAAGAATGTTTTTTGTACATTTAGTATAATAAATGCGGACTTTCCAGGAGTCGAGGTTATCTCGAACAGACAAAGAAGGAAATTCGAGGAGAGAGAGAGAGAGAGAGAATTAAGGGACGATCCTTCTCGTTATACAACTTTTAATTACAATCGGTTCGATTTCCTTTTTACTGGAGTTTCCATCTTCGTTAGACACAACCGTGGAGCTGATTTCTTTTCCTCCTCGTGGCCTTTTCACAGCACTGAATGTCCCCTGACGTTCTTAATTAACGACGGAAATACGTTGTTAGTTCTTCGAGTGGCGAGTTTCGCGACTGTCGTTTGCACGTTAGTCTATATCCTCTTTTAGAGGCTTGTCTCAGTCATTGCTCGCTATTTTCACTCTGAAACGACGTTTAAGCTACCTACAGTCTTAGTTTAAACGTATCTGTTTCCTCATAGGTCTATATATCTCTCTAAATGCTAAGTTTGGTGTCTAGAAATGGATTCTAACGAAGGAGAATGAAGCAGAGAACCACTTTAATTGCTGCCTATTTATTCTTTGCTTTCTCATTTGTTGTATTTAACTTAATCTCAAATGTAATACCTTCTGACTATATTTTAGCACATGAAGTGCAAATGAAATTTAATCCGAGATCCTGATTCTGGGATGAGCTTCCTCACCTTGTATCCATCTTTCTTTGCTGTATAATAATAAACTGCTGCATTTGTCTTTTACAGTGAGTAGGAGAGTACTTCTCATAGTGCGAATATCTAAATAAATAATACAGAAATGGTGTACAATTTTGTGTTTTTAGTTATGTCATTTGGAAAAATTACTGTAGTTGGACTTGGATCTTCTAATAGACACTATGAAGCTTAAAAACTTTAGGGTTTTCATTTGTTGTATTTAATTTAATCTTAAATGTAATACTTTCTGACTCTATTTTAGCACATAAGGTGGAAATGAAATTTAATCCGAGATCCTGATTCTGGAATGAGCTTCCTCACCTTGTATCCTTCTTTCTTTGCTGTATAATAATAAATTGCTGCATTTGTCTTTTGCAGTGAGTAGAAGAGTACTGCTCATAGTGCGAATATCCAAATAAATAATACAGAAATGGTGTACAATCTTGTGTTTTTAGTTATGTCATTTGGAAAAATCGCTGTAGTTGGACTTGGATCTTCTAATAGACACTATGAAGCTTAAAAACCTTAGGGTTTCCATTTGTTGCATTTAATTCAATCTTAAATGAAATACTTTCTGATTCTATTTTAGCACATGAGGTGCAAATGAAATTTAATCCGAGATCCTGATTCTGGAATGAGCTTCCTCACCTTGTATCCTTCTTTCTTTGCTGTATAATAATAAATTGCTGCATTTGTCTTTTGCAGTGAGTAGAAGAGTACTGCTCATAGTGCGAATATCCAAATAAATAATACAGAAATGGTGTACAATCTTGTGTTTTTAGTTATGTCATTTGGAAAAATTACTGTAGTTGGGCTTGGATCTTCTAATACATACCATGAAGCTTAAAAGCTTCAGGGTGTTAGGGTAATTCGGTGAGCAATTAAGGAAAATGCAAATGAGTCTTCTGCTTTACGTCGATGACCCTCTAACCCTGTTCTCAGCTTGCCACGAAACGTGGCAGGTAAGGAACTGGCATCGTGGCGTTTATCAGCACATCAGCTGGTATCGCGCACTCTCGTTAATGAGAATTATGTCAAGGAATTGTATCGATTAAAGCTTAGCCCAGATACTCGACGACGGGGCGTCGCTTCATTGATTTACTATCATGCACTGCCTACAGATTCATCAGTCAAACGATGCCAAACCTTACTTCGCTTCCCTCATCGCGAATGGATGGTATAGAAATAGCTCGCACTTCGACACACTGTTCAATAAATAAAGTTCTCCCAGGATGCGAATTCCTTTTTCTACGCAAACTTCGATTCGAGATCCAATTGTTGCCTCTAGAGCTCTCTGCATGTCTACGATGCCGGGGATCAGATCTACAATATTAAGAAAATAATGAAATCAATGACCGAAGTGATACTCGAAAGTATGCGAGAAAGTAGAGAGCTGATGTAAAAGTACCTAGGCATCGAGTTTCATTGCATGGAATTATTCCCGATTGCTCGAATGTTCTGGAGTAGAGGAGGAGACAGGGAGAAGCCAGCTTGCTCTTAATTAAAATACGTCAGTTACTATCTTTATTCAATAAATATAATATTACATCGTAACATAAGGAATATCGTGGTGTGTAATTGTCCTCGTCTGCTGGACCGCTCGCAAGCGTGTTCTTGCGGACAGCCCCAGCGATTTGCAAATATATCTCTATATACGCGTACCACACACGTACATGCCATGTGCACACGTACACGTATGTATACATATACCATCTTTAATATAGATCTTTCTTCTCTAGAGACAGCACAAACACGTAGTATGTTACAATATCGGTACAAGGACAGTCACAGATCTCCGGCGATCGTTTTTAATCTAATTCTCCGGTGTTCCAACGCGAATCCTCTGGAGGTCATGTGTTCAAGAACCATTTTGGTATTTTACTTTCTTGAGTTGGCCCGCAGGGAGACAGGCTGACTCTTATTAATCGGTAGTTTCCTCTTTGAAGACTGCGACTGACATCTTCAGATAAGAAATTTCGAAACTGCTACTTTCCTAATACCTCTCCTTCCTTTAACCTTAATTAACGCTTTAATTTCCTAGTTAGTTTATAAAATATTACAAATTAATTCGCATTTTTCTAGTAGAAAATATAATTAAGAAAATAAATGCAAGGGATAGAATTAAAAGGAAATGGAACGTTCCTTTCCATCTTTGTCATCCTACTTTCTTCACGAGGCTTCGATTTCAAGCACTCCACCGACGATCTTCTTGTTTACATCATTAAACTCGACGAGTCCCCGAATCGAAAAACGAGAAGCTCAATAAGCTGAGCTTAATTGCAGATGCACCGAGCTGCACCGTCGGCATTGCGATCTGTTTGGAAAACGAAGCTGGCAGTGGGATGAAAAATTTTCTGTCGCTGGATCGTCGATGAAACTGTGCTCGGTACCTATCTTCCTCAAAGCTCGGTGATACCGGTTAAAATAAGTGTTAATAGCACTCTAAAAAAGTAACTACTTACATAAAATAACATTTTTTTTTGCTAAAAACTTATCTCTGTTACTCTCTAGTAATTTATTTAAGTATCCTTTAGCTTAACTTAGCAAAGTTAAGGGTGTGTTCCAGTAGCTCGACAACTCGGATAACAAACAGTTTCATTTGCCAATTTGGAGTTAATAAGTTGTCAAGACAACCCTTCAAGTTTCCAAGGAGGTCGGTGAGACAGAGACCCACATAGCGTAAAAAAGAACCTGTCCAATTTGATAGCCGTGAAGTATGGTGCGCTAGGTCCTGAGAAGATGACACAGGACTCGCGTGGAACCCGTACGACGCTTTCTCTTCCGCTAATTAATCTAATATTTACACGAGTCTGTCGTACAGCGGACGCCTGATCGAACCTTTTCGTCTCTCCAGCCGGATACGCTTAGCAAAAGTAATAAGAGCGTTGGAAGTCACCAGTGTTTCCTGGCGGTTGATTCTTTTTCTTTCTGTCCGGAGAAGGAAGAGAGAGTCCTCTCGTATAACGTTTTGCATATGAAAATAGGTGTATACCATTTACATTATATATCTCACGCTATCACAATATACGGTCTAAGGTAAAGTCCTGGTTTGATATGTACAATATAATATATTATTTATAGTATCTCACGTGGTGAGCCATTTAGCTTGAACATTTGGTGTATATTCTTGACACGATTTGCACGTTTCAATCGGGCAAATATTATTGCTCTGTATTAAATGCCTATCGAGTTCGTTAGATTTATGAGGATTCAAATTTACTCGTGATCGAATGGTATTCCGTAGGCTGATTAACGATGTGCATACAGGATTTGATTTGGGACCCTATGTAGAAACAGCGGCTACGATTTTAAGACAGATTGGATGCAAGAGCTCCTTCGGATTCACCTTCCATTCTTGAGAATACTCTGAGCGAGGTTCAAACGATCAGGCTAAATAGAACACCCAGTTCACCATAATCCATGTTGTTCCCGTGCATCTCGCGCGAGTTGAATTTCTACCTTTGTACAGATTACTAGTCTGTAATGCACTTTGAACGTTTGATTGTATCGTCAGTCTGTTTTGGCATGCTACTGAAGCCTGGTCTCTATTGGCAGCCCCTCTATGGTAACTGGGAATAGAAATCGACCAGCGGAAACACGCATGAACAATCCTGCGGCGAGAGACTGGGCTTCAGAGACGAGTTCTGACTCTTGCGTGTTCCTACAGTTGATCAGAGTGATTCGAGGGGCACGGGAAGTGTATAAACCGTACGTGAAGTCAGAGGACACAGCGAGTCTGTATAATTTCTCTTTCTACGTCGACTCTCCCTTCCTATCTCTGTCTGACTAATTGGAAACCCAACTGAAAAAAGGAACAGAGTACAGTATGGTGGCCTGGTGTGTGTATGTACACTGGTGCAGACACAGTCAACTTCGCCATGGCATCTAGTATATACACTGGACTGACCATGGAACACAAGGTAAAAAATGGGGCAAGAAGAACACGGTTCCAGCGCCATCTGTAGGGTAATTCCCCTTTCCGAATCCAGTGGATTGCACGAAGACCCGAAGAGGTAGCATCTACCAGGGCAATGTCCTGTTCAGAAGACAGGCAAACGCTGCTGTTGGGCTCAGTATCATTGGACGAAGTTCACGTTGAACGTCTCCACCTCCATTGGCTGCAGGTTCACCTCCTGCAGGCCGTACTTTAACCTCTCTTTCGTCGTGGTGCCAGTTAGCGAGGTCTTCGTCACGTTCAGATTCGCTAATTTGAAGAACGACGTTCCCTGGCCGATCTTGTTCGTCAGCGGACAGTGCTTCAAGGTCACGTCCACACCCACGGAGCAACTGTAACCTTGTCTATGGAGTACCATAAGGGCGCTATTCACAGGGAAATGTGGTAGTTTTTGATCGTGATTGGTCCTCAGGTTTAGCAAATGCAGGTCACAGGGGAAGCTCTGACTTAACAGCCTAACTTCTGGCGCCATTGTGATGTCGCCCTCTGTTCCATCCACCACAAAAATGTTCACAGGGTAATTGAGAGCGTTGCTCAGATGATTGGCGAAGAGAGAAGGTTTCGAATACTTGTCCTTCTCTCCAATTATGTCTTCTAACAGCAACCAATGTTTGATGACAGTTCTGCGATTGTCAAGAAGACCTTCGCCCATTCCTCTCGAGTCATCGTACAGCGTTCTCCTGTCTAACATGACCTCTAGCCATCCTGGCTGATAACTGGCTGCTCCTTGGCAGTGATTCACCAACAAAGTAAGTCTATGATTGGTGTCTTCTATGTAGGCCATAGTGGTGATGGGAAAATAGTTACCCTCGATGCCGATCCTCTCTATCTTTGTCCTCTTGATCATCTGATGACCGTTTAAGTCTGTATAAAATTCTGGAGGATCTCCATTTAGTATATCAGTCTGGAGCCGCATGAACATCTCCGTTTCACGATTCTTTGGCGGAGTTTCAAAGTCCACGATGTTCCTCAGGTAGATAGCCTCGCCTAATCCATCGTCTCTGTGATAAATAGCCATGTGGTGGGTCAACAGTTTACCATATTCGACGGTCAGTCTTGAGCTGAGGCTTCCACTAACGATGTAGATCTTCTGATGGGGTGTATACGCCTCGAGGACGTCCTTGTCGTTATCTCGGAGGTTAGGATCAGGCATGAACAAGTAGGCTCCACTATGGAACTGCGCGGACGGATAGGCAGCGAATTGAATGGCGCATTGCATGATCTTGCCAGTCGCCTTCTTGGTTACCCTTTTCAGAAAACCGGTCTGACCGTCAAACAATAGCTTCATTCTTTGGTTCTCTAACTGAACATCGCCTACTTGCATCGGTTTGATGGGAAATATGTTGTCCTTGCCACATCTGCTGCAGTACACGGTGGAAATGGCATCCATGGGTATTTTATCTATCTGCTGGAGATGATAGGTGGCTATGGCTAGAGGTTTCAGCTCTACCACGAATAACAAAACGTAGACATCGTGAGTGATACTGGTGGCGTTCATCACCGGGGCTATCTGATACGGAATAGGGTTCCTCTGCGTGTCTAGGACTCTGATCTTATAGGAAGTGACCTTCAAACTGATCACCTCCTGCCTAGGCTGAGCTAGAGGATTGAACAGGACTATCTTCTTGGTCTCCTGACCGCTGACTCCAATTGGTATTTTCTTTGGTAACTTCTCGTAGCTGTCCCTATCCGACTCAGCTAGTACATACACGGAGTTAGGCTTGGTCGTGCTCCCAGCCAGAGATTGAATAGCGAAGCTCTGCAGACTGGTCGTGTCTGAGATGGACTCGAACAATTTTAAAGCATAGTCCTTCATAACAAAGGACTTAGAAGTGCCAGTTATAGCATCGTGGTGCTGGAACAGACCCAGATTCCTCCTTGCTTTCACCAGCTTCTCGAAGTACGTTTCGTACAGCATAAAGTCCTTGCCAGACTGCTTGGCCACGTTTAACGCGATGGTGTAAAGGATCTCGGCTGACCGGAGGTTCGCCTCCAGTTCACGGTCAAGGATCTTCATATATGGCCTCGTGGTGAAGTAGCCACTCCAGTATGCCGGCCTGCCTTCGCTGAAGATGTCGGAATACACGAAGAAGTCTCCTTTCAAAGTTGGGAAGTTCTCCACGCGCTTCCTGATCTCGATGAAGTAGTCTTTAGGTGTGCCGAACACTACTTCTGTGTTGTATTCCTCCTTTCTGCTGTTGATATAGTCCATCAGGATCTTGTAATTGGTGTACTGTTGGTCCCACTCGATGGCATGGTCATACCTGAAGCAAGAAACGTGCAAACCTGGTCAATAGAGACAGAGAAAAACCATAACGAATTATTAATAAGTCAGCTACTGGGTTAACCCTCTGCACTATTTTCACGAGTCAGGTTCGTTGTTTAATTTCATGTCAAACGTGGATATCACGAGTCTGACTCGTGATCGACATTTCAGGTCAAACATGAATATCACGAGTGAGGCTCGTTATCGATATTTCAGGCCAATCGTGAATATCACGAGTCCGACTCGTGATCGACATTTCGGGTCAAATATAAATATCACGAGTCTGACACGTTATCGGTATTTCAGGTCAAACATGAGTATCTCGAGTCTGACTCGTGGTCTTAATCTCGGGCCAAGTATGAATATCTCGAATGGGATCGTGTGTTCCCATGCAGGCTATTAATTAATCATATTATAATTACTCATACAGAATTTGTTCTAATCATGTGTAAAAATTAACATATTTTTTAAAGTTTCTGATTTAAACTCATTTGAATTCCCGACTTTCAGCGTAGTGAAAGGGGTTACCTATTTTTACGAACAAAAGCAAGTAATCCTAACCTGAAGTCGTCGCCGAGCGGCATCAGGACGACATTATGCGTGAACAGTGACCCCGTTCTGGAGTATTGTTCCAGAAGCAGCTCCGCCATTTTCTTCACGTTGCTGGGAGTGATCTCCACTGCCCTGACTGAATATTCGGTATACTCGCCACGGATCTTCCTGAAGTCGAAGCTGAGACAGACATGGGGGTGTGGGCCGCAGGAGTGCTTGATGTTATAGATATCGAACGGCTGATTATGCGTGAGCATGTCAGCCTTGCCATCCTGATCCCACGGATGCAGCCAGATGAAGTCGCCGTACTGTTTCTTCGCGAACCACTGCTTCCAGGCGTAGTGTATTCTCTGGATGACGGTGCCGGAAGCACCGGAGGCTTTCAGGAAGTAGGGTATGGTTCCACCGTGGCCGAAAGGGTCCACCGACCAGCCGGACTCCGGTATCACGTCCAGGTTCGTTTTAAGCCATTGGTGTCCTACAATCAGAGAGGCGAATCGGGTCAATTAAAAAGAAACGACTTGGCAGACGAGAAGAACGAGGCCATTCTGTTTGCAGAATAGTCAGCAACGCCGCGGAATAATCGGCTTTTCTGGTGCGCCGGGTACCGACAACCCAGCCGGCCGTTTAATATCCTGGGAACGGTTAGGTGAATCTTTTGAGGCTTCTACAGCTCTCATTAAGAGACGGAGAGAGAGACAGCTCGCGTAGAAATCAAAAGGATCGATGCGAGCAGCGTCGTTAAATTCGTGGGACGCTTGGGAGATCGTCTTTTGAGCGTCGTTCGCTCGTACCGTCGATCACGAGACACTTATCGCCGTGTAAATATCCCCGGGGCTCATTTAAAAGCTCATGCTCCACGGGAGAACAGGAAGAACATCGCTTTCGGTGTTTTCAGCTGGAAGATCTAGGATCTACACGGTCTGAATGTTTTTTATTTCTTCAATCGCTTCGATGCAAGTTCCTTTAACACGTTCGCGCCGGCGCTGATTTTTCTGTTTCCCGCTGTGGGGCGCCACGCGTACTCGTGCACTGCTTCATCTGGCGGTGCGCGTATTCAAATGCCCTTAGGTTACTATTTTAACACGTTGTATGCCACGCCAGTTTTACAGGGATTGCCCGTGGCGCCACGGTGAATTTTCTATTGTGCGATGCATATTATGTTGAAATATTATTTACGACAGTTAAGGTGAGTTGTATAATCGCGTTTAATGTATTTTTCGTGGTGGGGGTCACCGGTGACCCCCGCGGCGCTGTAGACCATTTTTGCCATTATCAATTGTTTAAAAAGCAACTCGAAAAAATATTTCAATTCCCGATTTTAGGATGAAGTTAGCGATGTATTTAGCGAAATGTTCCGATTACGAAGATTGCATTTCATCGAGCAATTACGCACAGAAAAAACGTCGTCGCGAATTTAAAAAGAAACCTGGAAGTGTGCGAAATGTAAGGCGATTTTGCAAAGTGTGCTATGAAAATAATTCAAATCAGTTAGGAAGAATGAGAGCAAAGAATTGCACTAAAAAAGTGGCGACATATTGTGCCTACTGTTTTGGTTCACCTTTTCTTTGTATAAATAAAATTATTTTCGCATGTTCTGTATGACATTAATTTCTTCGAAGCATTATAGTAACAATGGTACTGTTTAAAAATTTATCGGTATCGATATTTACTCTAATTATGTATTTTTACTAATGGTCGCGTCGCCGATCACCGGTGACCTCCATGGCATTGACCGTATATATTGAAATTGGTGTGAGTCAATTAAAGAAAAAGACATATCACGTATGTAGCGACCAGGTTCTCACCCTCGCCAATAGATAGATTCCTATTTGAAGCAGGTTCGAGGATTTTCTCGCAAGTTATAGCGGTGAAGCCTCGATCTCCCTTAACTAAGAAGTTCTTAGCCCACCTAAGTGTCCCCGGTCTAAGCCTTACTGATGAGTCCACTATCAGGCCCGGGACGAAACGCATCCCTTTCTTTTCCTGCCATCTTTCTACCTGCTACCCTATCAATAGCAACGACGACCACGGATTTACCAACAGGCCAGCATCATAGAACACAGACCAGCCCATCATAAGGAACCACAAGAGACAACATAGTTGTCACAATGTACATACTTACACAATATAAGTACTTAAAGAAAGGAAGGGTGTCACGGATCCAATACGTATACTCATGGATAGCTGTGACGTGCACATGTGTTGGTGTATAAGGTCAACGTGTGCAGAAGAGCTGGTTCGAATTTACCATAGAATTTGATAGACTTCGACTCGGTTGATCCAATGATTGGACGATGTCATACGATCCACGAGATGACTGTGTCTGGTTTAATTATGCAGCAAGTAACCACTCAACGTGAGTGATTATTCGCAAAGCTTGTTGAGTCGTTGAGAATAACTCGTTGGTTCGATGCTGGTGCTCTTGAGATTGTCCAAAGACTTGTGATGCATTTGGATATTGATCAACGACTTGTTCTCCTGTTTGGAAACTGATCAACGACTTGTTGTCTTGTTTGGAAACTGATCAACGACTTGTTGTCCTGCTTGGAAACTAGTCAACGACTGTTGTTTTGTTCGGAAACTGATCAACGACTGACGATCTTTCGAAGCCAAAAAGTGATCACGATTTGCCAAAGGAGAAGCGACCTCCTGGTTGGCAGTTTATCGGACCAAGAGTGGGACCCTTGGTCCGCGAATCAGGCAACCTCAAAGAAGGGAGGAACGTCCTCCATAACAAGGTCACTGGTGGAGGAATCTTGTCTCTCAGAGTGAGGTTCTTGGTGTTAGAGTGGTAATCGTGCTTCGGTGCCTAGTGGCATCGGTTCGGTGTGTTGGTGTGCGTGTGGTGGGGGAGTGAGTTGAGGAGTGTATGAGAATGGGATAGCTACGTGCTCCTCCTGTATGCCTGGTACTGGTGCTGGATGTGTGTGATATAAAAAGGCCATAGAATTGTTTTTCTTCTTCTTTCTATTTATTTAAGTTATTTTTCGCTTTCTTTTCTTTCAATAAATGTTTTTGCTTAATAAGTTTTGCTTAATAAGTTTGCTTAATAAGTCAAACACTTGGGGGGTAACCCGCACATTGGTGACCCTTCTTGGGAGGTAACGGATGAGATCACCTTGATATTATGGCTTCGAAAGTCCTAAACAACACACATGGTCTGGTCTGTTCTTTTTGTGAGTGTTGCTTTTATATGTGTGAATGTGAATGATGTTGAACGAGTGTAACTTATTTGCGACGATATAAATATAATATGTGCGAGTCCAGTCTAGTATAAATGATGTTTGAAAAATGTTTAGAAGAATGTGCTAGAATAAAACAGTTATGTGAGAATCGTGAAAGAAGAAACATGGGTATGTAACGGTTAATAAGAGTGAGAGAGAAATAGAAGAATTTTCTAGAAAGTGTCAATCAATTTTTTTGTTTAAAATAGTTTATTCCGAGTTGTTTTCATTATTTAAACATTTTTATCAAAATATACTGATGTGTTAACTGCTAAAAAGCGTATAAGATATTGGTGCCTATTACTATGCACACATTTACGTGCCCACTGTCAGCGAAATCCTAAGTGCTGTTGCATGTATTTCCAAAATTAGGTGCTAAAGAATGCCCCGTGTCCGGTGACAGGAGGAAAATATAGGAAGGTTTTTAAAAATGCACAATAAAGAGAAGAAATGGAAAGTACCGAATATGAAATAAGTCAGCATTTAGGGTCCAACTGTTAGAAGACCGTAATAGGTCTTCTAGGCCCGTAGGTAAATAGGTTATTGTCCCAGGACAGCATGGATAGCGTGAAACGTGAAATCCTATATAAAGGGAAAATAGATATAAAGGGCAAGGACAGAGGAAAATAAGTGGAAAAAATAATGGCAAGTGAAATTATACAGCTTATAAAGCATGCATTGAGATCGTCTAGTAATTCAGACGCCATCTCTCACGGTAGAATCCCGTTTCGATACGTGGTTGTAGAGGACGGTGGCTGTAATCGCTGCCTATTTATCAGTTCTCACCCTCCTAACATTCCTCGTCGGCCAGACAACCCCGTTTGACCCTGTGCAATAGCGGGGAGTTAATCCACATCCGTTGCCACAGGATAGAGACTGCGTTCCGGCTCCTTGATGGACGATTTATAGCGCCGCGCGCTCGCAGCGTCCCTAGCGACGATTGAACCAACTATCTTCCGCTCGAGGTTACTCATCTAGGTCGGTACACTCTATGGACCACGGTCAACGCTGTATTTTCGCTAATTACGCGGGTAAAAGGTAGTTTACATATATCTTAGATTCGTGTGTAAGGTTTTCTAACTATTTTTACCGGCGGAGAAAATACAATTGACGCTTTGAAATTCGCGAGATCTGGTTAGGAGAAAAGACCATTCAAAAGTATGTGCACAACGCGGTGGCAAAAAGGAACGCGGTATAGGATTCGATTCGCCAATGGCGGCAGCGTGTTTCTTTATTTCACCGTGGCATGGCTTCGGTCTTTGTGTTTTCAAAGCCGGGGAAAACGAATTTGCAGAGGCTTCTATTTTTCCACGATAAACGATCGTCGATCGTGTTCGTCGGAACGCTCGCGTATCGCCAGTTGACGAATAGAATTCTCTGCGATCCGCGCAACTTCCGACGTGGAAAATGGACTACTGGGAAGCACGAAGCTACGAATAGAAGAGGATCAAATAAACTGCATTTTTGGAAAGCGATGCATGCTCGAAATTTATGCGTTAAATACGTTTTTTATCCAAACCTAACTCTACAGATCATATACTCTAATCAATAACTTTAAATAATAAATGAACCTAACACTGAGATCTAATTTAACATCGGGTGTCCCAAAATTCAGGAAAGAAGTGATTTTGATAGAAAACACAGATTTTTAATTAAAAATTGTAAATATTGCTGAACAATGAAGACGTGTTGTTCCTTCCTATAGCGTTCCGTTTTTAATAACCTTGAACTGTCACCTGTCATGCTATCTTTCCTTTTTCGTTGGCGATACATTACTATAGAAATGTCGCAATATTCAAATCTTACATGAATTTTGCGTACTACAGATTTCAGTTCAGTTACTCGGTAAATAAACTTAATCTGAATTTAACCTAAACTTAATATTACGTAATGACGTAATATTTAAATCCTAACCTAAAACCTCAAAACTTAACCTAAACCGAATATTTCAATTCGTTCGTAATCCAGATTCAACATTCTAACCTAACTTTAATTATTCAAATGTTCATTATCCAAATTCGACATCCTAATCTGACACCAGCTTGAATCTAATCTACATCTCATATTTTATCGCTCTAACGTGTCACGCAATGTCGATGAATCGACAGTTGGAGAGAATGGAAATTGCATTAATCATAGTACAGTAAAGTCATAGCTCCTAATACAATTTGAAAAATAGAGTATTTCGTGAATGGATCACAATTCACAAATCAGATTTAAGAGGATACATCGAGACGAGGCATTGGCGTAGAGGTGCA